ACTGATTCGGAGAAACATACTAATAAGATTCGATTTCGTTAAACTATTGATAGTCCAGTAAACATTTTTTAACTTGCCGTTTTTTGGTTTTTTTTTTTTTTTGTTTTTTGTTTTTTGTTTATCTGAAGTGCTATTTATCGAAATATGAGAGATCATTGATATGTTTATAACACATGGAAAAGCTTTACGATAAAAGGATTGTAATTGCTGCTTCGAAGCAAAATAGGCCTAGGTCTAGAATAATATAATTAATATAAAAAAAGAATAATATAATTAATATAACAAAATGTAGCAATTGATAATTGAGAACGGTCATGAGAGCGGTCATCAGTACAGTGCAAAAGTTAACGTTCCAAACGCGGCGGCGAGGGTAGCGGTGCCAATGTTGAATGGGGTGGGAAGCAAGCAGTGACGTCGGGTGGGGGAGGAAAGGGGAATTTCCCCAGATAGTATACTCCCCCCCGTTCCCCCCCCCCCCAAAAAAGAAGAAAAACCACAATTCGTAGGGGGGAAAATATGATATAGGCCTATAATTTCTACATAGGCCTATTAGTAGACTATCTATCTATAGAGCAATATGCAGACCGTGTATGGGCTATTCCATTATTTTCTTTTATGCTTGAGGGGAAAAAATTGGAATTTCAGCGACCTTGAATTTGTCCTTTTATATTACCTTTTCTTCCCAAAATTTAATCATCTCTTAGATTATTATATATCATTCCACTAAATTTATGATGATCCCTTAGCGTAATCTTGCTAACAGACACACGGTGGTGAATACATAGCCTCCTTGGCGGAGGTAAACAGTAATTAAGTTTATGTTAAGATGGAATGAGAAATAATGTAAGTATGCTATGCGCACAAAAACCGGATCATGCGAGGGTCTATCGATTTATCATAACCAGGCTGTGACAATTTATAGTCGGCTTGGCGGTGACTGGGAAATCAATTTTAAAATGTGCTTGAGCCAACAAATGCACCTTCAAGACTAATGCAATCGGGTTTGCAGCAAATCACATCAAATGACGACAAACCTCGAGTTAATAGGATAAATTTAGCTACATTCATGTTATTTATAAGCACAGCCGTGTTTGCCTCTGGGTCAAACGAGTTTAGAAGCTTTTAAAAATTCATGAACCTCCTACGCCAGTCGCAAAAGTCTAAACACTTTTTATGATGGATTGTTGTTTCATAATTCATCATATCAAGCCTATCATATACATCCATTAGCCATATAGGCCTGATATAGGTCTACCAAATGGTTATGTCAGAGTGAGCCCGGTTTTGTGGAGTCATCAAAATAGGAAGACAAACTAGAGCACCATTTGTTTAAATACATTTCTCCCTCCAATTAAAGACCCTCCAATTAAAGAACACTTTTCTGTGGTCCCATACTAACAAATGTCTATTATCTTTATTATTATAATTAGAGAACAAACTCACAGAAATGGTTTTTAATTTTCAAGGGAGACCTGTATTTGCATTGGACATGGAAAACGTGTTTACTTTTCGTAAGTCTTCCAAATACATGACAACAACATGAGAACACAGATTCATATTTCTTGTTTCCCCTTTTTTTTTCTTTTAATGGATGATAAAAGGAAAAGAGTATAATTGAATTACGGAAAGCAGTTTCGTCAAACTTTGAAAGTACAGAAAAGTTAACTTTCAGCATGACTATACCGTTGTCAATATAGCGCCCTCACTCGATATTCAACTTTACTGCAATATAGCTGGTTGAACGACTGTGTTGAGCTAAAACAAATTTAAAATACAATTCAATATTTTAATTGTTTACTTATTATTCAAGTAAGTTTATGACTACCAATAGGAAGCAAACATACAACATAGGTTTAAGTCGATTCACCTTGGGCATTGCTCATTGAAAATTGCTGCACACACCCATTATCAGAAAAGCGTAAAATATACCGTTCTATTTTATTTTGCGTAGACCCTATCAGATGCTCATTAAATTAATGGTTTCCATATTTTTAAAACGCCAGTGTATGAGCAATTTCATTGGATATAACGCGCAATAAAATTGCTTTTATTTTATTGTTATAGTAAAAAGCAATATCTTAATTGTATCGGTCAATCACACTGGAATTCGATATCTTGTCTATATTCTCTATATTTAGCTATTCAACAAATCGTTTTAAATTATTTCGTTTAGTACAGTATATCTTTTTAAAGATTTTACCATAGATGTTTCCGTATAATAAGCCTATTCAAATATCATGAAACGTCACAAGGTGCATAATATTATTCCCCACACATTATATCGCAGTAATGAGATACCATTAAAGTACACTAACCTCCCCTCTCAAGAACAACTTAGCTAAAATATGAATTGTTGATTGAATCAACGTGTACACGAAGTCGGGAGAAGTAAAAGAATCAAAAGAAATACAAGAGTCAATATATTGATATTCGTGAAGTGACAGATTAGTAAAAGTAGAATGTACAGCAAACGGTTGATCGATAATAAGTAAGACTCTATTCGGTATGCTAATGTTCTTTAACTGTTTAATTACACAGAAACTCATTTAACTGCTCAAAGGCCAAGAAACATTAAATTAATTACCTCCAATTCAGAGGTTTAACGCTACTGGGACTGTATTGTCCGAATAAATAAATAAGTAATATTCTAATCTCATCAGCGAATACAGACATAATAATGAAAAATTCTTAAATAATAATAATAATAATAATAATAATAATAACTTAATAATAATAATAATAATAAGATAATAATAATAAACCTATAATATTAATAATAATAATAATAATAATAATAATAATAATAATAATAATAATAATAATAATAATAATAATAACAGATTAATGATAATATAATGATTACTATGAGTTAAATACCGGTAAGAATCATTTAATAAATAGCAATAATATTACAATATATTGTCATAATAATAGCAATAACACTGCAATCAATAATTTTTTTTTTTCTAACCTGGTTGAATTTATTTTAATATGAAAATTCAGTTTTGTAACATGATTGACTAAAATAGTATCTTTTCGGAGATCCCGTTCAAGCTGAAGGTAGGGTGTGGGGAGTACCATGTTGATCTGTTATTTGCGGTGCAAAATCATAGGCTGCTGGATTGATTAAATTAAAATATTAATTAGGAAAATCATAATCATCATTGGATTAGACCCATTATTTATTTTTATTTACATTAATAGTATTGTTAATGACATTATTGTTACCATTATCATTATAATTATTATGTTATCAATATTATAATAATTAAAGATATTAATGTCAATATTAATATTAATAATAATAATATAATTATCATATTTATTATGAATATTATACATTAATCGTCAAATAGGCCTTATCAAACGCTAGGTGACCACGATCATACAATGTGGATTATTAATAAAAACTATCTAACTATATACGGGAACGCAATGCAATATTTTGAGAGAAAAAAGGGTATAATGGCGAGTGTAGCAGCCTTTCATATGGGATAAGACAGACGCGGTGACGGACGATTTTTGTTCCCACAACCAACCACAAAGAGCATGGCACACAACAGGAAACACCATTAAATTTGGAAGACATGTGTCGCACATCATAAGAAAAAAAAAACATGAGTTTTGGTTTCATTCGCATGACATAAAAAGCCAGATTTGTGATTTGTAGGCCTAGTATACATACAATGTATTATCAAAATAATCTTTGCCTATTATAGGGGTAGGCTATTACAGGGCCGTAGCCATGAGGATTGTCATTGGGGAGGTGTGTGAGTGTGCAAAATTAAAAATAGACCCGCTGGTGTTTGAAAGAGCCAGTTTGAATAGCTTTTATGTCCGGGGCAGTGTAGGGTTCCGATGAATTACACTGATTAAAATGTAAATGTTTAAGTTTCCCTGTTTAAATTTGTTTACAGAAAATAAAATTGGTACATGTTTAACTGTAGTAAAATGTGAACTTTTTCGATTTGGGAGGGGGATGCGTACACATCCACCTATCTTATGCCTGCATTAAAAATTCATTACATGTATGTAGGCCTATATTGTAGATGTTCGTATAGGCCTGTTATTTAAACATCATTGGTTTATGGAAGAGAAAGTCATTTAATAAACTTATTTAGACTTACATTAACAATTTTCTAGATAAATATTGAAAAATTATTCATTATTGTACGATCAGTAAAGAGCCCGCATCGTTCAACCATGAAACATTTCGCGCCACAGAACGCAGACTTCCCGAGGTGCATGGTAAATAGCCTATGTAAAACAATTGGACCGGGGTTTCAATGATTTAAATAAAATAATTTGTCTAAATGAAGCCTGTTTAAATGTTAAGATTAATATAAAAATCACTTATCAAAAATAACACACTCAGCGTTTAGGAGATTTATCAGGATATGGTCATCATGAATATGAGAAAAGAATGAATTCAGGTTGGTAGCCAAGCTTCCCGAAGTTCTATGAACGACGCATTTGGATTGGGTATCCCGGCGAAGTGACGTTTCCCCCCCTTTGACACAACCATTATTGTTATAGGTAGAACATACATTACAATAAATAAAACTGACACAATGTATGTAGTATTAGTAATTTTTTTACAAAATGGTTACAGCATAATTAATTTAAATTTAATTTAAAAGTAGTGTAAAGTTTAATATACATATGTAAAGCAATATATACTTATCAAATATATATATCCTTACCTAGAATGATTATGGGTGATTAAATGTCCCTCGCGTGAATATAATTTTGGATCCTGTCGGTCTACTGGCCTATCTTCATTAAACAAAAATTCATCGAATTAATGGATAAACAAGTTTCCCAGTACCTGAAGTCGTTAAACACAAAGGTTTGTATATTTGTATGAAATTTAACAACATATTGTAGCTTAAATCCACTAAAGTTTAAATCATTGTCAGGGGAATTCCTCTGCGGTTTTACGTGCGATATGAATGAATGACCGAGCGAGGGAGACCCCGCCTTCGTGTGTGTGATAATCAAATAAACACAAGCAATGACCCTTCGACAAGCAGCTGTTCGTCGAGTGCATTGCCTTGTTCGCGAACGATGGTATCTGCTCATTCAAGTTGAGACGTGGTGCGAAGGCTGTTTACAAAACAAGACGACTAGGGCCTAGGCAACAGAAAACGGGACTTAGTTTACTCCGTGGTGAGCGTTATTTAGATTTAAAGTTATTTCTTACTATAAAAATAACATTTTATCTAGAAAATATAATTTGATATTTATAATGTACTCTGGCTGAGGCGCAGAAACAGGGATTTGAGTCTGAAAGTTCGTTCTGTCTTTTCTGTGCTGTCTGTGGTGCTGCTTTCAGCAGCATTCGCTAACTACCCGCACGTACGCAGGCATGCCTGATACAATTCATAATTTGAGGGATTTTCCAGAAAATGTATTTAGGCCTAGGCCTAACACCAAGATTAGGCTTTAACAGAATATTTCTGTTATTTCATTCACTAGGCCTAGTCCTACCACCAGGATTTGAATTATGAATATGGCATGAATGATTATGCCTACCTACCTACCTGGCCCTCCTCAGCCATCCCTTGTTGTGTTCAACAAGTTTCATAATTCTTATCTTGATTAGGCCTAGCTAGGACCTAGGTTGGCCTATGGTAGGGCTGGCTAAGATGATGTTATGTAAAGTAAACTAGGCATTGTACCTTTTTATCCAGGTCAGAACGTTTAGTAGATGGAAATTATACCAAAACTATATAAACAAAATCTACTATAGGCCTAGATAGACTAGGTCCTAGGCCCTATTAGTATTATAGAAAAGAAGTTAATTATTTTCTGTTAAATTTATCTATTGCGTTAATGAATGGATTAATGCCAATTTGGTGGGCACATATCATGCTTTGAATCTAATGAATTAATTCGTATTTATTATAGTTTTAATGCATAAAATCCTCATTACTAAGATTGAGTTTGTGATGAGTTTGTGTATAGCCGAGGTCTAAGAAATGTATGATATGTTAGCATAATTGAGATCAAACAAATAATTTTGTAGTTGGAATGCTTGGATTATGAATGAGTGATGTGTGAGCTTCCTTTCGTCTTTTGTCTAGGACAGTTTTGCCTGCTATAAAGCTCCTTAACTTCCTGCATCAACTGAAAATTTAATCATGATTGCATCCTGCTAAATTATATTTTGGGATTTAAACGCAAATTAACTAATTGAATAACACTTGGAGGCCGACGTTTAATCTGTTCAAATATTTTTATGAAGAAAATGAATTATTTTTCAAGTGGATAATCTTTTTTAATTAATATGATTTTCTTTCAGTTTTCATTGAAAAAATACCTAGTATTTTAATACTGCAAACTTAGTATACTGTATTTAGTATTAGCTCTAGATAAATAAATAATATGTGATTCAAAATTTCCTGCTTATATTTGATAATCATCATCATGCTACTCGGCTGACCAGATTTGTGTGCATATACTTGGAATTAAATTTGCATGATCTACATTGAACATAATGATAATGTGAATTGTAATTAGATGATGTGGCAAGATGGGTTGTAAAGCCAAAGAGAAAGAAAATGGAATAAATCCAAGGCTACATGCGCAGTGTGCTGTAGTAGGTGTTTGCCAAGTATTTAAAGTTGTTTGTCATGATGCCAAATGTTTAGAAAAATAGACTACAGTACCAACCAAAGGTTAAATTATTTTTTTTTACACATGGCCACCATTTCCTCTTCAAAGATTTGCAAATGTTTATTCATAAGCTGTTGTCCATGGCTTTTTCCCCTGTTGCATGCAATGGGATCTAGAAAATTCATGTAAGATTACTGTACTGTACCCCATACTAAAGGCTAGTTTTGTCATTAACCCTAGAACCTCAGATAGTCAGATTATTGTAAATTCTATGTTCATAATATTTTAAGTTCAAGGCTGTTTTATGAAAAATCGTTTCCATCAATAGAAAATTATTTTATAAGGAGCCTAACGTAATCATGTCTTTGCTTTCATGTCCCTATAGACAATGTGTAAGCCAGCATCATTTTAGATACAAGCTATATGAGCATGAAAGCTAGGTCTTTGTTGATCATCATACTTTACCGGTAGTTATAACTTCACATAAATGATGTTTATGAATAATTGAAGCCTGTGATATAGCAGTCCTGTGAGCTATTAGGACAGGTGGCATTTTATTTATGAATTAATTATGCTTTGACACACAAAAATATGTACAGTTTGTTGACTGTTTCTGATTGGTAAGTTTCAAGGCTCCAATATTCTATTGTAAACATGGGAAAGTGCTGTAAAGTATATAATTTATTTGTTGTAGCCAGAGGCTCTACTCCAAGGAATAAAATTCTAAGTTCTATAAAAACTTTAGAGAGTATTTGACATAATGTTTCTGGGTAATAATGATGCATGGCTGTACTCTTGTGTGGAATATGGATTCACAGTGTTTTACCATTCACTGAACTTATAAAAACCCTACTTACACACTGACACACTCCATCCCTATAGTTTTTTATGCTTAGCTGTCACGGTTGGATGACTAGGGACAATCAACATGCTGTAAGTGGAAACTGAGTGAAAAAGAATAATTGACAAAGTGACATGTGCACTGTAGGAAAAGAAGTTTGGAGGGTAACTAGAAGCGTTGAATAGGCACAGCTGCCCTATCTACCAAAATAATTATAAACTTGTAAGATTTTTAGGCACCTGGTGTTGTGGTGGCTAATTGGGAAGGTGGGAAAAAAGTACATTATCTTGCTTTCATTATTTATGTTTAATTCACATTATCTCCTGCATTGAGTATCAAATTTCTGAGAGGAAAAATCAATGAATTGATTGTGTCGCATATTGCATGTGATTATCACTAAAAAAAATCATCAACATCAAAACTTTCTCATTTGAAATTTTTTACTATTTTTATGCTAATTATCTTGTCATTTTGTGAGCCATTTTTCCATTCTCACTATCTTCTTTGCATATCTATAATTCTCTTTTGGAAAACATATTAATTTATCAATCATCAATAACAATTTGGTAACATTTTACCAGATGCTCATTATAGTGATTGATTATATTGACAGGCATTGTACAATTTATAGTGCTGTATAAACTACTATAGACAACTAATACTGTTCGAGTATAATCTATATTTTATTTCAACCACTTTTATTTCGAAATGCATAAAAGGTAAATACAATTAAAAACCAAAATACTACAAAAATAGACCATATTATTTGTAGGCCACATAGTTTTATTAAAAGATAACTTCAATGTCATGCCAGTATGCCTTTATTATTTCAAAACCTTTCTGAAATAATCATAGATAGTTTTGTTTCTTAAAAGCACTGAGGTGTATATTTTAGGTTTTTTTGACCTGGTAGGCCTCTCATAAGAAAAGGGAATTAATTCTGCTGATGTATGCTTTTTGAGTAGTTTGTCACGAGTGTGATACAATCAATTTTGCCATGTGTATATTATGAAATATGCATGACTACCCATGAGGCAGTGCCATACACCAAACTCATTGGCATTTAGTATCCAGCCGTTGTCGTCATCGAGATCCGTGGACTGCTCTTCATCCTTTGGCAGCTGCTGTTATTGTTCTCATCACTTTATTTCCTAAAAATCTCCTCATAGTACATCAAGTATGAAAATATAAACAGTGGGTTAATGATTAATTAATATTCAATGACATTGTTATAATACAGTGGTAAAGGCACACTTGAATCTTGTTGAGTGGAACTATAGCATTCCTTACCAGAATCAATAATAATAATATTTGTAGTTTTTTATTTTGCACTCTACACAACTAAGTCTCAGAGCTCTTTTCCACATTATATTACCCCAGTCATTGGAATGATGTATATGGGGAGAAATTCCATAGTTTGCTGCATGAAATATATCGGCGTATTTTGTACTCGAACCTCCTTAGGTACCCACTGATACTCCTGGGTGGAGAGAAGCAATGCAGATAAAGTGCCTTACTCAAGGATCTGATTTTTTTGTTTTTATCAAATTTTTTACATCACAAAGTGTGAATTTGGTGTTGGACATAAAAATGTATTATTTGTACTGCAGTTATCCTTTTAACACATAGAAATTGATATATAATGGGATCATTTGAATTAATTAGAGATTAAAAATTTGGTTTAGACTAGAGTGGATGGCAAAAGCATGTCGTAATGCTAAGATTTTAAAATCTGAAGAAAGAGTACTCCCCTTTGAGCCTTATTGTAGTAATACGCTACCATAGTACTGTAGATCCATATGCACTGTTGCATGCATATTTTGACTGCCACTTCTTTTATATACATTATGTAATATACAGTGCCATTACCAGAAAACATTTTACAAACAAGGCGATTAATACACATTTTATTCATTAAATATTTTGATATTCATTCTCAAATCACCTCTTTATTTATTTAATTCTAAAGTATTAATTAAATTTATGCTTAAAGCCAAATTCATAAATTTATGAAGATTAAAAATTGATATTCCATAATTTTCCATAATTTTCAAATAGTACCAAATGAGATATTGCATTCTATGTATTCAGTATTTTATTTAAAGTCTAGAAATATTAAGGTCGAAGTTTTCTTATTAATTACAAATCCACATCACTATATTTAATAATATAATATTTCTTCTTCATAATTAAAAAATATATATTTTACTGTATGACAGATGAGAGTAGCTTGTGGCTGGTAGCTCAAATACGATGTGACCCTAGATAAGAAGGAAAGCTACTGTACTGTATGAACTGTAGTCCACGTCTAGAGCGCTTTTGAGACTTCGGTATAAAGTGCTATATAAATCTCACTACATTACATTATAGTACATGTCAATCAATTTTCTAAACTGTTTACATTGCATCATCACATTTTGTATAATCAGAGCTTCAGACAATTGAATTTTTGTATTCGTCAATAGAATATTATTTTTTTCTTCCGCTATGGTTTTGGCATATCACGTTTTTCTAAAGGAACAACAATTTTCTTTTTTTTTTCTTTTTTTCTCCCTTCTGTGAAAATATAGTTGCTATTTATTTTAACAAGGTGCAGTATAAAGAAAGTCTGACCTTGCTGTACACTGGCAACTACAACTGTAATTTATTTATTATCCCTGAAGAGGAATGATATTAAACTACAAAAATTAGGATTTACTGTATACTGTAC